GGAAATATTTTTCAAACTCATCTGTTTGGATGGCTGACAGCATCTCCCTCATTTTTTCTTCACCTCTTCTCTGTGGTCAAATCACTGTATTTTCATGTTCCTCTTCTTTCATGAAAACAAAAAGAAACCACATGGAGCAAGGTCAAGTGAGTCAGGTGCGTGGAACAGGAAAGGCATGCTGGGTTTTCTTGCCCCAAACTGGTGCACTGAAATGGCTGCATGAGATTGTTGTGGTGGCAAAATCAGTCCCTTGTCTGCCACAAATCAGGCCTTTTGTGTCGCACACAGTTATGCCATCTTTTCAGTACCTCTACATAGAAAGCTTGATTAACAGTTGGACCTGCTGGAACGAACTCCAAATGTACTGCAAGTCGACATTTTCATCCATTCAACAAGTTAACAGGCATCCAGAATGAGGGTTGCATCAGTTAACATCTCACATTTTTGAAATGAGAAAACCATTCATACACTTGAGTTTTTCCCATAGCGCTGTCCTTGTAAGCTAAGTTTAACATCACAACAGTTTCTGTGGCATTTTTTTCCAGAACAGGAAACAACACCTCACAGTCACCTGCTATTCTCTTAAATCAGCCATCACAAAAAACAAGGTTTGAGCGAAACTGCTTTTATGGAGAAAAAAATCTTTGTGACCAGAGAGAACTGTCCAGGTGATGCCCATGGGTGCAGTAACTCAGAGTGAGTTGTTTTATGCTCACTTAGTGGGAAAAATGCATACTTTGAAAGCTCTGCCCAGAGGAACTTTTTACTGTTTTTGTGTGGGGAGGTGTGTGTGTGGGGTGGTGTTGGATAACCCTCATATACCATAGATTTTTAATCCATTTTTCTATTGATGGAAATTTAGGCTGTTTTCAATTCTTTGTGATTTTGGACTATGCTGTGCGCACATTGTGAACTGTGCAGTGATGAACGAGTTATTTGCGGATTCTGGGCTTCTTCCTTGTCCATATGAAGTTGGTAGTCAGTTTTTCCATTTCTTTGGAAAAAAAGATGCTTGTATTTGTATAAGTATTACATTGAACTTATCTAATGCCTTGGGTAGGATTGACATCTTTACAATATTGAGTCTTCTGATCCACGAGCATGGGATATTCTTCCATTTCTGATGGCCACTTTGGTTTCTTATAATTATGTTTTGTATTTTTCCTTGTATAGAGCTTTTGTTTCTTTGGTTAGTATAGTCCTCGATATCTCAAATTCTGCTTCGCTATTGTGAAGCATACTATGTTCTTGATATTGTTTTGTGCAATTCTATCAGTTGTATATAGCAACCCAATTGACTTCTGTTTGTTGATCTTGTATCCTGCCACTCTACCATATTCCTCTATTGCTTTCAGCACTTTTATTGTGGAGCTTTTGGGGTTCTCAATGTATAGAATGATATCATTTGTGAATAATGATAGTTATTATCTCCATTGATTGTTACACTGGCTGTTGGTTTTTTATATATAAGTTAGTATTATGTTGAGTTAATTTCCTTCCAATCTTATCTTCTTATGTGTCTTAATTAGAAATGGGTGTTGAATGTTGTCAAATGCTTTTTCTGCTCTTATAATTTTCATGTGTTTCTTGTCCTTTTTTCTTGTCAATGTGATGGATAAAGCTGATAGATATTCAGATGTTGAACCATCCCTGCATCTCTGGTGAATCCCACTTGGTCATGATGAATTATTCTTTTTATATACTTTTGTATTCTATTGGCCAAGATTTTGTTAAGGATTTTTGTATCAATGTTCATGAGAGATGTTGGCCTGTAGTTCTCTGTTCTTGTGGGATCCATGCAGTTTTGGTATCAGTGCTATACGATCTTCACAGAATGTGTTTGGGAGTTTACCCTCCTTTCCTTTGTTCTGGAATGCTTGCATATCGTTGGTGTCAACTCTTTCCTGAATGCTTGGTAGAATTCTCCTGTGAAGCCATCTGGGCCAGGACTTTAAAAAATTGATAGTAGTCCCTTGGTGGCCTCATCTATTTCTTCTTTTGATATGGGACTGTTAAATTTCTTGACATATATATGTGATAATCTGGAATGGGCTTGTTTTTCCAAGTGTTTTTCCAAGT